AGCTCGCCCACGAGCAGAAGCTCGGCTCGTTTTGTAACGAGCCACGAGCTCGGCTCGTAGGGCAACGAGCCGAGCCGAGCATTGCCATCACTAGCCCTAAATCAAAATCGCCAAGGTGTAGCTATTAGGTTGAAAACCCATTTTAATAATTTTCTTCGACAGCCCAACTGCATCATCAATCTTACCTTCCCTAAAAAACCCATCAATCAATGAACAGAAAGTAACAATATCAGGACTATGTCCCCTCTTGAAAATCCCACCCATAACAGCAAAACCAAAAGAAACTCTTTTCAAGCCACAATAGCAATTGAGCAAAATATTCAGCGTAAAATTATTGGGAAATATATCAAACTCAACAATCCTATGGTACATAGATACGATATCTTGTTAATTATTGGTTTTGGCAACAGCACCTATCAATTTGTTGAATTACGAGTTGGGAGGCAAGGGTTTCATTTTGAGCATATTATTAAAGGAGGTAATGCATCACTGGTGTGATTTCTGAGGATGATTTACAGCCTGTAGTGAATTTTTCAAGGGGAGTTAGGGTTTGACATTGAGTTGGGTGTTTGAATTTTGGTGAAAGCTTACCTCTTTTCGCAGTTCTTGAAAAATCTGTAGTTACAGCAGAAGAAGATCAGGAAACCATTTCTCATGTGCTGGAATAGAAATCAAACAAACACAAACTTGAACAGATCCCTGAATGTGAGGACAAAATCATAGAAATGATACAAATAGTATTCAAAGACTTGCATATACATAAGTGGCTCCAATGTTGTCACAAAATAATCGAGGATAGTGGGTAATTTCATGCCAAGCTCGTAGAGTAAGTTGGTGACCCATTAACGTTCTAGAGCAGTGGAAGCAACCGAAAGGTACTCAGCTTTGATACAGTAGCGACAAGTATTTCGCTTTTTTGAGCAACGCTGAGATGCATTTAGCCCCGTTTGGTTTAATTTAAAATCAGATTTTAATTTTAAAAAATTGATAAAATATGTTGACGAAAGTCGTTAGTTTCTGGTTGAAAATGAATTTTTAAAAATGGAGACCAAACATGGACTTAATACATATAGATTGCCTGCTCAATCATCATCTCAATAAGTTGTCATTATGAAAAGGCAGATTCCAACGAAGACGTAGACCATAGCGGATGTTGTGCTTGAGGTAGCGAAGAAGACGCTTATTTTTGTCCAATGAGTGTTGGCGGCAGCATGCATACATTGGCTAATTTGATGATGGAGTAGGCTTGCATCCGGTCTAGTTAAGGCCGAGTATTGAATACCTGCCATTTTTGTGTGCTTTAGTAAATCTCTCTACTCGGAACACCCACTTGCATGCAACAATATTGTGGTGAGATTGGCTCATGAGGTGCATCAATTGTTGGTGAAGTATCATGAGTATGTTGAGGTCCAGAGATTGGAAAGGAGATTGAGATGAATCCCGAGGCACTAATTTGTGGAAAAATAAGCATTGCCTTACAATAAACATGACTTTAACAAGAAAAACGTCATTACATAACAAAACTTGCAAGTCCTAGGTTCACGAACTCGATACAATTGGCTTCACTGAAACCAATTCCCCTACACGACAAACTCAGTTTTGGAACATCTAAACTATAGCATGTTTGATAGCAATGATTGGATAACACTAGACAATATTAAAAAAAAGAAGATAAATCTTGTTCGGTGCATTGTAGAGTCTTTTCCAATTATTTGTACTGAAACATTTAACTGGTCGACTCCATCAACCATCAAGGAAGGGCAGAAGATCTACTGTGGAGGGTCCTGTAAATTGCTCTGATAGTATTGGGAGTTGTTCTGCAGCAACCTCCTACGAGGGATGCTCCTACTTCACACCATTTGTTTACATAAGACACGAAATCTTGGTCTGAAATCCCGGTGTTTTGCTGCAAAAGAAAATAAATGTCCTTGATGATACTGATTTGGTTTAACCGGAAATTAGTATTGATACTAAGAGGATAAGAAAAAAAATCAGCAAGCAGAAAAAAATTGAGTCTAAAGACAATATATCATCTCTTTGAAAAGAAAGAACTTACCACCCACTCCTTCCGATCAGCATCATAACTCTCACCACTATTTGGGTAAATAAGTATTGGTTTATCCGTCACCTAATGAGTAAATATAGTTAAAAAAAATGAAAATTAATAAAAAGTTCTTGCCCGGAAACATGAAAATAAGATGAAGCCACTATCACATGTCCTACATTTGTTATAAACAAAGGAATGAATGAACAAGGCAGAAGATATTTAATACCTTCTTGATGGACAAAATCAAGTCTCGAATAAATCTAGGAGGGGTACAGTTAATTCCTACAGCAACAATTTTCTTGCACAATTCAGCAACGGCAACACACTCAGACAAAGAATCGCCGCTAACCACGTTAACACCATCCTTAGAGTTGAAGGACAACCATGCAGGTATATTAATGTCTTCTTCCTCAAGAAGCTGAACAAAAGCCTGACAAAAACTAAATTGTCAACATCTAAACTAAATAATGGAAGTTTACTGTTAAAAATATTGCAGCTCTAATTCTCAGGAACTACAATCAAGAATTTCTTCACTTCCTTTGTTAGGACAACTTTCACTATATCAAGATTGTATAGCTTACTTTTACTTACATTTGAGTAAAAAAAAAGTTGCTTATTTTGAAAGTAACTAATACCCTAATCAAAATATGTAACTTATTACCAACTTTAATCAATAAAAAAAATATTCATTTTTAAAATTACTTATTTAAACTTTTTAAGTGAAACTTTTAAGCTTACCCGAACATGCTGAAATGGTATCACTTAACTCAAGTTTTTTTTTATCTACCTTTAAAGAGAACAACTGAGCAGTTTAGTTAGGATGTCGGTAAAATGTTCATACCTGAGCTTCCAGCTTGTTTGGTACTGTTTCAAAAGCTATAAGATCAGGACCAGAGTCTGCAAGAACCTTAACCCTTCTTCGATGAAAGTTCTTCAAGAACTCCATATCCATTGCATCTCCATAGCAACCACTGCAAGTCAGCAAGAATGAGGCAGTTCCAACATGAAAAAAGAAAATTTTAATTCATGTAGGTGTCTCGACGAAACAATATTCAAGAACTGAGAATGCAAATTGACTGTGGATGATGGTAAATTCCATTTTCCATCATTGGAAATATCAACAAAAAATTATATGATACAAAACAAAAGTAACTCTTAACACCTAAAGTTATGTGTGTGGATGTTTTACAACATAGAAATCATATCAAAACCAAGTATAAAGAGATGCATGTGTTGTTACTCTCAAGAATTGGAATTAAATTCACCTATATTCAGAACCATCAGCTAGATAAGCCCCGTAACTCCCCACAGACGCTGCAACCATGATGGACCGATGCTTGAGAATTCTACCATCACCAGTATAGCCAGAAGCAGATTCACAACACCTACTGTAGTATATATCTCGAGCCTCACGTGCAATTTCAACACTTTTCCTGAGCAAGTTTTCACTCTCATCTCGAGAAAAGCCTTTGCCCTCAAACCCCTGGATTGTTGCCTGTGTAGATCCAAAAATGTTACACTTTAATTGATCAACACATGCACAAAGGGAACTAGAGATTGTTCTGAATTATATATGTACCTGATAAGATGCTGTGATTATTATATCCGCACCAGCTTCAAGATAATCAAGGTGTACCTGTTCATCGAAAATAAAATATGAGCCATGCCCGTATATAGAAATATTTTCAGAAGTGCATGTTCCCTTCAACCTATCAAACAAGCATGATGCATATATTAAGAGCCTGTTTGATTCTCACTAATTGGGAAAAAAATAAGTTTTGAATAGTATTTTTAGGAGAATGTACGGTTAAAAATTAGGAAAAAGTTTTTGGTATAGTAAAATATTTTATTGTGTGAATGTATGGTTGAAAATAATCATGTAGCAAACCATAAAATAAATTAATGGATGTCAAATAGGCACTAAGTCTCCGAGTTATTACAAGTTAAGCATGTTCAGAAATTGTATGCTGCTTGCTACACCGTTCAATTTTAAGCATCAAAGTGCATTGAGATTTAAACCTGTACAAAATTGTCGTCTTTTAGCCTGTCAAATAAATGTGAATTATTATCCTTAAATCAACTTCTAGGTGCACGATAATGATATAAATTGCCAAAGGATGATAAATAATCCATAAAAAATAATGTAAATGGGAACTCTTGTGACTTCGAGTCAAACAAAAAGTGAGGAGCCATCCCCGGTGATGTAAGTTGCATGATACTACCATAGATACGATTAGCTTCGAATATCAATCTATGTCATGTAATGAGTTTTATAAACTACTCATCCCCACATCAATTCATGAAGAAGATCCAATTGCTGAACAAGTTCATAACTCAAGCTATCTGTCTTACACTATTAGTCCTTGAAATCTCATAAAATATGTTGTTATGTGAAGAGGTTCAGTTTGTGGTGGTTCAAAATATATTCATAAATTGCTATATTTCTTTGAGTTTTCAAACTTTCTGTATATGATGCCTCAACAGAATCAGAACCTTTCAACTATACAGATTATAATCAAGAATCGAAAGAGGAACTACAAGTAAATATTACATTCTCTAGTCCATGCCGACTTTACTAGCCACCGTGCTGTTTTAGTAAATGTAATCATGTATATACTGAAGATTGCCAACATTGCAGTCCAAAGCTCATTAATTTTTTATTTTTTTTTCCTTATCTCAACTTTTTATTGGAAACATTGGATCCAATCCAAATGTAGAGATGAAAGAAGGAAAAAACTATTAACTGCCAAATCCTACAATCCAAAACAACTGAGATCCACCATTGCTATCCATCCTGCTATTTCTGTATATGCCATATGTGTAATAAATTGAAGATAATTGCCACATGGTGGTCCAAATTCATTATTTAACTTTTTCTTGGATCCTAACGCATTAAATTCATAACTTGAAGCTTCAACTTCCTTTCACTGAGCTATAGTAACAAAATATATAGTGGTCCACTTCAATTTTTGTAATATTATAAGAGAAGATGTAAACCTGTCAAAACTGACACATAACTTAATATATTCAAAATAAGCCCATAAAGAATCTAAAGCAAGAAAAAAATTATAATATCTACAAGCATTATTTCAGTAGATTCAAGATTATTCTCGTAAAATCCCATTTTAACATTATTAGTCAGGCTTTGTTGAATATCAATAGATAAATGTTCACTCTTTACGAGCTTAAGCTGTGAAAATGAATCCGATTCGCTTAGAGGACAAAGAACTTGTATGTAAAGATTGATAGTACATTAGTAATATTATTGAATATTCACCATTTTAAGCAAAGATCAAGAAAACGCAAGGAAAAATCCTGAAACCTGAAAGAAATGAATGAATAGAAAAGAGATTTACGGTACGGATGAGATGAGGAGAAGTGAGTAGACATTTGGCACTCCATAGAGGGTCGTTGAGGTCGGCGCCGTGGCGTTCCAACTCCGTCGCAAGGCCGCCGTCGACCACCGCAACGCCGCCGTGTTCACTGAGGAAATCTGACATGCGAGCCTCGATGGGTCCCATTTTGTATGAAGAACCAAGAAATGGAAATCTCCGGCGAAGCCCAGAAGGCCACTTGACACTGTTTGCTAAGGTTTGGATTAGAAAACGTAGGATGACTGGCGGATGCTAATGACTCAGTTTATCCTATATATAGAGGACGTGTTAGACAACGGTTGGCTATTCACTGATTCCATAAAAAAAATTACTGATTTTAATTTTAAAAGTAATCGCTCATACATGAAGGGTTGGCTAAGCTAAAAAATTACTTATTTATGACATTTGAGTGTCCTTAAATTATCCTTGTCTTAACTCATAAACTCACAAAATGGTGTGTGTCATTTTTAGGAAGTTGCTTTATGAAGAACTTTTTTGAAGAGCGAAGAAACTTCTCATTAAGATAGACGATAATCAGACACTCTTTGACTTAGCTCATAGGAGTTGAAGGCGACAATGTCAAGCATGTCTTTATCGTAATTTCAGAATATTGCGAGGACAATATTTCAAAGATCGTGTATAAACTCCTAAAAACAGAAGAAATTATTTGGAAAAGTAGATCAAACATTACAAAATAAGAAGAAAATACATTCTTATTTATCATACTTTAATAGTTTGTTAATCACCACATTAGAATGACATTAAAAAGGACATTTATAAAAGAAATGATGGAACACTATAATATCCGCAGCAAATCGTCGACATATATTAGTCTTGTCATGGGCCTCGAGCAGTGCTGAAACAAAGGCATCCACGAGTCTGGTCGTCTGGTATCATACCACCACCTTTGCTGGTGTCTATGGCTTCTAACAGCCTCACAACCTCGTCCATGTCCGGGCGGTTTTCCGGCTTTGCATCCCAACACTTGCGCATGATGCTCACAAATGCACTTGGACAACATCGAGGAATTTCTGGCCTTAAATTCTGTCAAAACAAGAATTATAGTAAGAGACGTCGTTTAACCTAGGATCTTTGCCTCTCCTCTGATACCATAATGAACTGCCTTAAAAAAGTCTAGCATATTTACGTGTTAAGATGGGAAATGCTCCTTGTAACGATGGGTATATTCTCATTTCAATTTATTCCACAAACAATCCAAACGAAGGATAAATCCACTGATTAAATAGGAAAAGTCCTAAAGTGCTTAAATTCATAATCCCGAGAAACTTCCACAGGCAAGGAAACGTATAACAAAATTGTACGCCAGCATAGAAGACGAACCTGTCGTACGACTTGAGAAGAGACCTCTGCAAAACTCAGATCAGGATAAGGCATATCGCAGCAGTATATTTCCCACAAGCATATGCCAAAACTGTATACATCGCATTTCCTATTGTAAGGCTTACCATCAAGGACCTATAATAATCAACAATAAAGTTCTTTGATCAACAAAACTGTTCGTTGTAGAACTACTAATTAATGAAGCTTTGAAAGTAAATATTACCTCTGGGGCCATGTAACCAAGCGTTCCAGTATTACCAGTCATATCCCTTGGATTCTGAGCTTCAACTCGAGCAACGCCAAAATCGGCAATTTTCAGTGTCCTAGTAACATCCAGCAGCATATTCTCTGTTTTAACATCACGATGTACGATTTTTTTTGAATGTAGATAACTCAAGCTGCAGAATCAGGTGGTAAAGGGAGAATTTATAAGACTGCATTATATGATTACCTTCATAATATAGCGCATGTTTGGCTGTGCTTAATACTTTTCTAGAAAAGTTTTATTAGTAAAAGAGGTAAGTTAACTTACTTTTAAGGACAGCCAAATAACTTACTTTTAAGCACAACCAAACTTGCTCATAAGCAAGAATATCCTCACCCTCTAGCAAGATCCAAAGCAAGCTGAATAACAACCTTAAAAGCTAGCTTTTTCTTGCTATTCCTGATTAAGAATTTTTTCAGTGTCCCACCAGGAACGTACTCTACTACAACACAACAAGCATTCGAAGGAAATGAGTTCTGAACATCAGCTGGATTGTTCTTGGAAGGTATCTTAAGATCCGATGTTCCCATTGAGGCACCAATGAACTGGAAAGCAAAACTCAAATGAGCATATGAATTTAAACTGAGAAATCATCATGCAATAGCTAGTAACACACAAATTCACCGTGTACTAGATATTATGACGTTGAACAGCAAGGAGCCTACTCATTGTTCACTTATCCCTGCGACAGTTGGTCGGTCTAGAAGCATATTGGGCTTTCATACTTTTGTATTACATCGGCCGAGTTTTCTACGCAATATAAAGGAATCTTGAGAGGTTTGTTTCTCTCGTGTGCAATAAGATAGAGGTGCAATGAAAACCTAGTACATGTCCTCCTTCGAAAAAATCTGCCGAAAGAAGTAAATGAATCTCTTTATATGTGTTTGCGTGCATGTGTTTACGTTATCCATTTCATTCATTATTGCTCTCAGGATAGGGATAGGGCTTCCTTAACATATGATTCTGACTTACTTTGTTAACAATGACTTCAAGAATGGACTAAATAACATTATGAACCCTGATATCAGACAAAATCGAGTACATGACATGTGAACCCCAAAATGGGGTATACAAAGAGTCCAAGAAACATCTTCGTTTTCAATTCATCAGAGAGCATTGGTATGTGAACACTCCCAAAAAATATAGCGGTTTGATTGACCCACAAGTACTGCCCACTTATCCACCACTTATTTCTATCTATTTATAAACTAAATTGGGGCAAAAGTCGCAAAGAAATAATCTTCACCTTTGTAACATTCGGATGGTCAAGCTTATGCCAAACAGCCACCTCCTGTCGAAATGCTGCCTGAAGAGCAGAAGTTTCTGCTTCAGTGGCAATACCATCCTCCCCCCAGTCCAATACCTTCACTGTGATATCAAGAAACTTTCTAGTTGTCAGTATAAAGTGCAACGTAGATAACTCTTATGTTCAACAATATAGAGATGACAGGTGCCCATTATACAAGAACAAATTCGAGCAATGTTTTTCATCAGACATTACGCTGTTAAAACAAAACGGGAGTAGTACTTGCAATTTACCTTACACACGCTTGCACAGAGTACTTACTCTATAAAAAGCAGTGATTCTTGGAGCAAAATGAATGATTACAGGATAAAGAACGTAGCATGCTAACACTAGTCTTTTTTGGTTTCTAGCGATATACGGGAACGTGTACAATAATATTAGGCATTCAACAAATTGCACAATAGCTATACTTTCGTACTATGTTTCTACAAACTATTTAGGTATTTTTTATTTGCTGGAGACACATGTAGCTTCTATATTCATGGTTGTAATTTGCAGATATTTAGCAGCAACCATGGAAAATACCCTCTCGAATTGGATTCTGCAAGGCAGAAATTGAACTTTCTTTATAAAGTCAATGTGTAATCTATGCATGTGCAGAATAATTAAATAGAAAGAAGGGATGTCTTTATATAGGCTATGGATGTAGTTAAAATTAACCTAGCTCGGCCACAATTTCTTGGTGAACATGAAGTCAAAAAGACATTATGAAGAGACCTGGTAAAATCATTTATGTACAAGGAAATAATAAGATAGTTGAAGATAAAACTTTGTTCATAAACTAGCTTATTATCCATGTTGCTGTTATTGCTGACTGTTGATGAAAAAATTTCCAAAAACAAGATACAGTGAAGTTCTCACATACTTTATTAATGATATAGCACCGAAAAATCCAACACAAGTTACTCCATATGAAAGTCAAATTCCATTAACACAACAGTATTTGCTTATTGATATGTAAAATGCCATACTAGAGGAGACCTTGTAATCTGATATGTAGAATGCCAGTCAACTGGCGACCTTAACCTTGCCGGCCTTCCATTTCTTTGTGCTTAGAGGCAGAAATACAGCATTTGGAAAACAGAACTGTCATTGTCCAGTCAAGACAGTAATGCAGTTCCAAATATGCACGAACAAATTGCCACAAGAATTAACACTAAGATCATGATTTATGACATTTCTTGAACAATTGAAACAACACTTGAAATTGGCGAATATGAAGTTGATTACAAAGTTTTGGAATCTGCAGAAAGGCAATTTAAAGCTGCAGAAGGAAAACTAAATGCCGCATTACTTAAAAGAATAATGATTATTCAAAAATCAAACCAATTCTAGCAATCAATGAGGTCAACACAAATAGTCATCATTAACTAATGAAACAGCAATTCATCACATAATGTCCATAATAAACGATAAACCCCCCAACTATCAATCCTTCATAAACTTAGTTCAATTAGAAGGTGAAAAGTCCCAATTTACCTGCAACATCTTGGCCATCACAAAGACCTTTATAGACAGTACCATATGTACCATGAGCTATAACATTTCTTATTTCAAGCTTAGCCAAATCAATTTCCCATTCTTCACTTCTGGTATGGGATTCAGTATCCATAGACCAAGCACGAGTCAAATGCTTCTCCAACTGAATATCCCAATTCTTGAAATCAATCTTATCAGCCCTCAAAAACACTGTATTCTCACTATTATCTAATTTTAATTCAAAGCCTCCCTCTTCAGGATTCTTGGCTGATTCAAGAACACACTCATCTTTATCCATACCCTTGATATCCATTTTTTGGTGGGCTTAAACTGAAGAGAAGAAGCTTGATTACTCGAACAGTACCAAATATTGCTGCAGTGATTAAGCTAGTTAAATTAAAAATGCATTGCCCTTTTGAAAATTATGAGCTATACAGTCAAGAAGAAGAGCAAGAAGAAGAGAGTAAAGAAGAAATATAACAGCTAGATTGGTTGAAAGACACTGAAGAGAATGTAAACCAATGAATAAGTAGAGCTAGCAAAAAATAAAGTGAAGGCATTAAAATAGCAAAGAAAGAATCCAAATTCCAAAATGGTGGGTGTATGTGTACGAATGAGTTTGTGGTGTGTGTGTGTATATATAAAGTAACTTATAAGATGAAACAGTGTACATGTATCATGTATGACGTTTAAATCCGACAAAACCTTACACAGTATGTTAATTTTCTTGTAATAAAAAGTACAAATATCCGTTATATAGGCATCTCTTGGTAAATGCAAACCATAAATTCTCTCATTTTATCATATGCCTTGGCATTAGATGATAACTAAGAAAAAGATTTACCATCTACAATTTCTTAAATATTGGTGTGATTTAATAATCCTGGAGAACATGTTTGATACATAATACAAATAAAATTGAATGTTAAACAAGATTTTAACTTTTTGTCTTAAGTGTCCAATTTTATACACCAAAAATGCTAGAAGACAAATATATTTTTAATATAATAGAAGTGTATTGAAATTTCCATGTAGTGTATATTCTTAAAAATTAGATATTATGGAGATACTTTTTTTTTTCAGTATATGAAGTCGCGATAACTATGAATGTAATTTTCAACGTGTCCAAAGTAATATTTAGTAACATCTTTTATGTTGTCCGTATTTCTCATTTGACAACAAAAAACAAACATGAATAAGTATACTTGTCATTTGTTTCAATTTATGCATAAATATACTCAACCCTTGTTTGGTAGGGATTAAAATTAAAATTGTAATATATTTTGATAAAAAATGATAAAATGTGTAATTGTAAAATTGTGAATCCCATGAAATATGTAGTTGAAATTAATTGTATACTTTAACTTAAATTAAAATCTTAATTTTAATTTGTATTAAACAGGGGCTTAGTGTTGACAGTGTCCTTGTCTCTTCATTAAGGTTAATTATAACATTTTCATACAATCTTAATAAATTCAGCATCGACATACATGGAACACTTTCATATCAATTTCGAATCGATTACGGGGTAATGACAATTAGAATACGAAAATAATGTCAATAATATTCCAGCAAATATCCCAAACGTGTGCATTACCTTCCAAATACAAAAAATCCAAGCCATGCATAAACTGAGAAATTATGTCACCAAACATTTTGTGTAGCATCTTTTGTCAATTCTAGGACGCATCTATGAATTATTCCATGAGAATTAAGCTATGCATAGTTGCAATTATTCTATTATTATCATATTCTATATGTATATATATAAGATTATTCTACGTTACATCAAGGGTTATGCACAAGTGACATTATGTAATTGATTGGTGAAAATTGTTTAATTTCCACCAACCAATTACATAATATCACGTTTGCATTATGTAATCCTTGATATAACTCTTGATGTATGCATAGCAAAGCCCACATATATATATATACACACAGAGAGAGATCATTAAAACATCCCAAAGACCCGCAAAAGTATAAAAACCAGAATATCTCAAAAAACGAATCTCTAATTGAAGAGTGCAAAGTTGCATGACCGATGAAATATATTTAAATTCGACTATACTATTCTTTTTCTGACATTTCTTTATCTATTACAATGAAAATTGTTAAGGGTGTAACAAAAATGTACAGACAAGTGGAACATTGCATGGTCCAACACCAATAAATGTTGCAAGCTGTGATCGAATCACTTTGCACTAAGGCAGGCAAATTAGAGGCACCCATTCACATCAATTTGGAAAGTGAAAAGAAGAAAAAATATTCCAAAACAACAGGGGGAAAATCCACTTGCACCTAGGGGTGGGCGTGGGTTAGGTCGGTTTTTTACCCAACCCAAACGCAACCCAATATAGTTAGTTTGATCAAAAATCAAACAAACCAAACCCATTTATGTATTCCAACTCAACTCAACCCAACCCAATCAAGTTTTGGTCGGGTTGGTCGGTCGGTTTGGACATTAAAAATTATAAAAGTATATTNCCCAATATGGTCGGTTTGATCAAAAATCAAACTAACCAAACCCATTTATGTGTTCCAACTCAACTCAACCCAACTCAATCAAGTTTCGGTCGAGTGGGGTTGGGGTGGTCGGTTTGGAGATTAAAAATCATAAATGTATATTCCGACATTAAAAACCTATCAACTACATGAAATGCATAAATAAAAAATGCTAAAGAAATAAAATAGAGACATCTTGTACCTGTAATTAAAACTGTATTTGTTTTCAAATCAAAGCTTAACAAGAAATGGGAAAGATTAATCAAAAATTCACTACAACAACTTTTTAATAGCATAACCATAAGTTAAATTATAAAATTGGAATAATCATAGATACTAAGTACAACTTCTTCAAGATTTTAAAGTGCAAAAGTTTTAAAAGAATTTCACCGACAAATTTTAGCAATTAAGAAATTTACAAAAAAATACTTTCCCATTTCTTGATAAAAAAATAAGAGAGACGGTGGCGAGTGAAGTTAGACTGTAGGAGCGAAAGAGAGGAAGCGGAGGAGGAAGATTATTAGGTTATGGTTGTGTAATTGTGTTTTTGTAACTTGTTTGTCCCGTGACTTTTGCCTTTTGGAATTGAGTTTCGTCTTTTTTTTTTTTAACTAAGTGGGTCGGATTAAATCGGTTTTCTTGGATTAACCCGTGACCCGACCCAACCCGACTTGCCTTCTTTGCCCAAAACCCAACCCAACTATAAAATAAATAAAAAAACCGACCCAAACCGATCGGTTTGGGTCTGTTTAGGCAGGTTGGTTTGGGTTTTGCCATTGCACTTGTTAAATGGAATTTAGTACAATGTAAAAAAGTACACAGCACATTTAAGGCATGCAATGTGAATCCAGTAGATGCCAATATTAAGATGTGTGTGCACACAGCACAGCACACACTACGTAGTACTATCCAGTCTAGCAAACCAAACATATCTGCTTTCTTTCTGTTATTCGTTAAAATCAAAACACTGGTGGGATATTCGGCAACCTGAACAAGATTGAAGAGATGTAAAATATTTATCCATAATAAACCTGCTACGTTCTGTAACTTAACTTTTATTGTTTGTATGGCAACCTTCATTTCACAAAACCACTCCCCATTATTCGGTGAACAGCTTCCAGTAGTGTGGAAAGAATGATGCTACATTATATAATTTACACCTTGATTTATCTTCAAATAATAAAGAAAAACAAAACAAGAGTGTCAAAATCTCAAAATTTCGAACATCCTCGTGGAGAAACTCAAAGATCTCCTCTCCTGGTGTTCGCAAGATCACTGACAAAATCGTCCTCATCATTTTCAGCATCTTTTAGATATTTATCGTAAGAAGAATCATAAGCACTGGCTTTGCGCAAGTGCTTCAAGGCCTCAGCTTTGCGTCCCACGTTGATTAATGCACTAAAATCCCAAGTTACCACAGTCAACTTAAGGTCATTGGAGATATAACAATATGAACTTTACCGTGAGTGGATCAAAGAAATTGAATCAATAACTAACGAATGATTCAAAACCGATTCAGAAGAGGAATTGCAACATTATTACATACCTTGAAAGGAGTAGTAAACCGTCGTAATAATGAGCTCTACTTTTTGTATCCACAGGTTCTTTCAGTTCAGGTATTCTTTCTAGGTGTAGGAGACCTTCCTCAATCTTCCCCTGCGGAGGTGAATAAAACTTACGTTGAAATATTGAAGAGTTTATTTCCCTAGGAAACTTCAATTTCCAAGGCACCTCTTGTCAAGTTTGTATTATGTCAACTTAGTCGCAAGGCCTGGAGAAGCTAAGAAAAATTGAATTAACATGCACGACATCACTACATGAACAAAAACCTTTAGGTAATAGTGGTGTCACGAAAATTAACCTCGTCGAAATGACTATATATGCACCCTAAAAGATGTGACTACGAGTATTCTTGGAAAATTACCCCAAGTTAAAAGCGATTACATCAAAATGGTCGGTCATGCTTTGTTCAAAATTAAGAATGAATGATCTATTCGTTGAACATCCTTGAAATCAACAATATGGGCTGGAGTTGAAACTCTGCAAAAACATTCATTCTCTTTTTTTTTGGTTCCTGCCTTTTGGGCTTCTTCTGCATCTATTTGCTTAAACCGGATCCCACAAGTGAATCGAAAGTTGGATCTACATTGGATCTCACCCGAATTGCTCCGATATGTAGACCCAAATAATACAATGCACGCAAAAGTTCCGATATAGAACAGTTTATAAGTTATCATGTTGTTCCATTAAAAGTGTTACAATGTCTACTTTTACACTAGGACCCTGAGCTGAAAGTTCTTTCACAGAAGTGATGCTTCAATTTGTCTTTAACGAACAAAGTCGGGAACATTTTTTACTAGGAATCTTTTATAGGGGTTCTGGATTTGGCAAATAAAGCTCAAAAAAGCATCATCATGACTTACCTGCCGAATACAAGCAACACCAGCCCATTGTGATGACAGAATCAAAAGATCAACATCTTCAACTTCTGTTGGATGGCCGGCGGCAAGGAGCTGAATGGAAGTCGGAGAAAATACTCTGGTCAGTTTTCAAGTTAAATATGAGAGAAATGTTGTGAGCTAAAACTAGAAGACTATACCAACGTCAAAAGTATTTTGAATTGTGTTTCGGAGGTTTGAGTATATCATGACTTACAAAAATAGATACGCCTAGCTACTTTTTT